GTCGGGAGGCAACTTTGCAATTTCCATCGCATGCACAAGGCCAGCTGAGGCCGTGCGGCGCCCACACACTGACGCTATCACGGCCCTCTCCAGCCCCATCATCCCTCCGTACTCTTTGGGCGCTTTGGGCATGAGAGCTGTAGTGGTGGATATGGACAAGGTCGTGAAGTCTCTTCTAGGTATGATGTCGGTGCGACCTGCGCGACGTGCGCAGTCGGGGCCAGGTACACCCGACGCGGCGGATCCCCGCGGGGAAGGCGCGTAGCGGCTGTGGCTTAGACTATAATTACATTGTGGCACTTTCATTGTGTACATCGCACGTGGAGACTACTGAGCTACAGGTGCTACCTAAACTGGTCTACAGCTTCGGTAGTTCCACGATCTGTGCAAAGCCGGGATACGGCGGGATGTTCAGTTCGAACTTCTCCTCGAGCGTCCTAAGATAGAGCAGTCAGTACGGCTAGCCTCCGTCTGATAGGTATAGACACTGACTTTGGTACAAAGCGACCGCCTAGGAAATGCCTCCCCTTGAACCCTCTCGCGCCCTCCTTCGGCGCCGTCAAACTGACGAGCACATCAGGCTCCAGCCCAACACCCTCCGCGTTCCCCTTCTCGACGTCCCACCCAGACGGAATGTCCACCGACACGATCGGCAGCTTCGACTCGGATAGCAGAGGTAGAGCAGAGTCGAATGGCGCGCGCACGGGCGGCTTGAACGAGAAGCCGAAGATCGCGTCGAGGATCACGTCGTGTGAGGGGAGAGCGTCTTTCAGGGCGTCGGCGGAGGGTTCGAGGGTCGGGATGTGCATGTTTTTGCATTGGTCGTGCAGGCGCTATAAGGCAGTTAGACGAGAGCAGGCGATGCAGTCGACGGCGGGCATACCTTGTAAATGTCCTTCGATCCAGGCTTCGAGGTGCTCTTAGACGCGATGCCATCCTACGGGATCGTGGTGCGTACCTTGGGCATCCAGATCGACGGTCTATACCCAAACATACCTAGCATGCACATATGAGCGAAGTATACGAGGCCTTCACAAAGCCGTACGAACCGAGATGTCGAGCAGCAACCAGTCCATCACCACCCTGGTTTCCTGGTCCACAGCACACGAGTACACGCGGATATTTCTCCTTGTTGTACACAGTAGCAAGAGTCTGAGCGCACGCGAGTCCGGCAAGTTCCATCAACTGAGAGTATAGCCAGATATTAGCCAGGTTCAACTGCTGGTTACTGAACGGACGAACCTGATCGAGGCTGAACGCGCCCGCGGCGCTCATCAGCTCTTCGTCGATCTACCATTCAGAACCGTGAGCTAGACCCTCAGATAGAGCCTACGGCTATCATACCTGCTGAGCAGCTCGCGCAGTCAAGTATCGGATAGACATGTTCGACAGCCAGAAGCAAGGTGTGCGTTGGGCTACGCCAGCCGTGAGCTGCATGGCGGTGGGCGTCTGAGCTTCATGATGACGTCACGCGTCGTGGTGGGAGGCAAGCGGCGGCTGCGGCGCGACGCGTCGTCGCGTCCGACGTCGACGCGTCTTGTTCTCGACTTTCCATCATGCTCTGGCTCAATAGGGCTCAATACGTCTTGCCCACCGGTTAGGGAAATCATGATTGATATGGTGTATGATACATGGCACGATCTGCGAAAGTGTCTCCAGGCAGCTCGAACTCCGCACGAAGATAACTGTACATACGGCGTCGGTAGGAACACCCTTTTTTGACTCAACAACATTGATAAAGCACCGACCGAAAGGCTAGGGGCAATTTATGAGACGTATAGTACTGTAGGCAGACTGCCCCGATAGTTGGGGATGGGTAAGAACCTTCCGGGGGGAGTCAGGGTAACCGGTAGGACCATTGCGTGTCGTGCTTGCCCCAGCTGACACCGCTGCCGCCCTCCGCACAGGGGTCCTCCCAGCCTCCCAGTTATCTCAATCAAGCGTTGCCCCTCTGCACGCTACTCGTTGAACGCGGGCGGCTTCCTCGAGTTCAACATCTCCTTATAATCTCCCTTGCGATCCACATGCCACTTCTGAACATGGTCCGGCATAGCCTTGGGATGCACAACCGCGTCGCAAAAGTCGCACCGGAACCTGACGTCCAGATGAGACTTTTGATACAGATGCACCACGAGGTTCGCCCGGTTCGAGAACGTCTCCCTGCAGAGCGGACACCCCCCTTCGGAGTCTTTCGTGTCGCCGTCCCCTCTACGCCGTTTCCAACGCTTGGTGGTCCGGATCGCGTTCAGGCCTTCTATTTGTGCGGGCGAGAGTGTGCGCTCGACGGAGTAGTTGTGTAGTAGGCGTACACCAGATGCGCCCGCGAAGGGTCGATAGAGGCCGTGTTCGGCGTCGAGGATGGCGCTGCCTGGATCGGTCACCGTCGGGTACCACTCTTGCTCAGTGGGGGAGGCGGACGCATGCCTCGACTCGGATGATGATGCCAGCTCATCGAAATCGCTGTCATCTGCCTCGGTGGTCGCCACTGCGGTCGAGTTAAGAGAAATGCTCTGTTCTCGCGAGGTGGCGCTTGTGTTCAAGATGGTGGCCCAGTCGTCATCCGGCGTCGGTGCCGTTTCTTCAGGGTACTCCTCCTCTCCGTGCGACCGATTGCGCTCAGGAGTCGATTCCTTGCGTATGGTGTAGGGCGCGCGGGGTCCCGTTGCGTTGATACAAGGGCGGACCAGTGCTGGCGGTTCTTGCCCCGGGACCTTCAATGGTTTGATCGGCTTAACCTTGCTCCAGTCGAACTTGTCATCGCAACCTGAGGGCACAGGGCGAAGTGGGAAGCCCATGTGAGGCGGGGAGAAGGGGAGGGGGGATGTCAGAGAGATCTTCGTAGTCGTACTTATGGGGTACTGAGCCTGCGGTAGTGATGCCCACAAAGCGCCTGCATGTCCACAAGAATCGTGCGGTTGGTGTAGACTGGCGGAGTGTAGGAATGGCGTTGTTGATGGTTGTGATGTTGCTACTAAAAGGTCCTGTCACAAAGACGCGTTAGACAGATGAAATCCATGGCGAGGAAGTCGGCGTACAGCAGAGATGATACATGAGCCGGCGTCCTGAGCAGGGCGCTTCGCTCATGTAACGAAAGCTAGCACGCGAGATGGCAGGTCGTAGAAGCGGTCATATCATATTCTTGATAGTCACCAACTTGCAGACCTTGTTATATAGGTGACCGTCAGGAAGGAAGGCTATAAGTACAGGAGTTTATGCCCATGGTGGCCACGACGCGACGGGTGGATGCATAATCTGAAGATACTCGCTCGCGCGCTTAGCCCTGCTTGCAAATGTAGCTGAGCGCCTCATCAAGGGCTTATGTCTACCCTATCGCCAACATGATAGGTAACCGCATCCCGCCGAAGATGGGATCGAGTGGAGAGCCCGTTCATCCTATGACAAAAATCATGCATGTATTGACCGCGTACAAGGCCGGGGTAGATAAGTAGCTAGGCGGATTGCTAGGGGGAGGGGCGCGGGTAGGAGCGTAGGAGCGTATATATGTAGCTGTGGCTAGCTCTAAGGTTGGGGTTGTGTCGGTGGATGTCGTCAGTTGAGGGCTGGGCATTGGGTGAACCTGGTACCGCCTGTTTGCAATTCCGGCGCCCCGCTACTTCCTCCCGGCACTCTCAGGAGATCCGTATCGGATCTTCACGGTAATATAGAGGTGATCCAGGCGTAGAGCGTGCTGAAGGCGGTGGTTGGAGTTCCGCAAGCTGGTTCGAACCTCTTCGATGGGACCGCGGGAAAATGGGGAAAACGACGTCGCAGTATTCCTTGGTCTGCTGAGCTCCTGGTCCAGTAGAGTAATTTGGCAGTAGACCATGACAGGTACGGTGCAAGATGGTCGGAAGTCGACGTAGTGATTTACGAGGGTGATGGAGGTTCGCTGCAAGAGTACGGCGGGTGCCGGGGCGCGCGGAATGGCGCCCGCGGCCGAGAATATTTGCGAGTTCGTCTCCACCCCCCATCTTGAGGAATTGAGGCCTGATATATCTTGGACTCGGCTAATTGAACATGTCGTCGGGAACGGCAAGCCTTTGTCTCTATAGCCATCCGACTACCGTATTCGCGGTGCTCCGGACCACACGAACGTCGTCTCTGCCTGCCGATCCGTCTGGGAATTCGCGCGCCTAATATATACTCAGCTCAATGCGGTGACATATGTTTGTCATCGTTTCTGTCTACTCTGTGCACCGGAGGCTTTCTCTTGATTTCGTGGATCCCTCCGTCTGTTCGAAGGTTGCCAGCTCTGGATATCGCCACTCTTTATCGGCTGTACCTCCTCCACTCAAGCTGCAGCACTCGTCTGTGCGCTGCATATATCTTCCAGATACTTGTATCAACGGAGAAGACAAGGATACACTTGCTTACCCTTGCATCTTCGTTCTTACTCATAGGTCCTTCTCGCTCGCCCGCCGTCCGTTACGAACTAGGGTTAGCGAGTATCCCTGACTATTTTGTCTAACTTTCTCTCGCAGAGGGTGGCAAACGGAAGATCTATCGAAGCTGCGCCGTTGATATAGTGGCTCATATGCCACTACTTCCGTGTTTGGTGCGTAACATGGGCACTCGCGCGATTCAATCCTCTGACTGTCCACAGAATTCGTTCGAGAATTAGCGCAGTCATTCAAGAGGAACTTTCCCCCAATAGCGAGATGCGTCTTCACTTCCAAAGTGGACATGATCAACAACACGACGGGTCGACCAGCTCCTATAGGTCGGGAGTCCCAGTGCCTTCTCTGCGCGAGCATACCATCCACTTGAATGGAATTCCACACCAGTCATCCGGTGCGTGCCTTCAATCCCGCGCTTACGTAGCTGCTCTCAGCAGTTGTTTAGCATATTGGTGTATCAGGAGGTCGACCGGTGCGAGTAACAAACGAGGCCACGCTACCCAAAATTCCTGCCATGCTGTTCATTCGCTCCGCGTACTCAACTGACTTCCGCTGAAGACCTATGTCGTTGATTGGAAGCATTCTGCTACTGATTTGGATGACGCTGGACTGCTCTTCAGCGAGGCAGAAACGAGCTTGAGGACGATAGCCCGCCTTGCGAGTGGATGGGCGCCTGTTGTCACGTTGCTGCCGTGTGCTCGGTCACGTGCGACCGCATCCTCGTCGTTGCAGCTCATGGTGTGCGCATACCACCAGTGGACGGCACTCTACCACAATCAAACAGCTCTGAGCTATGACCCCTCCGCCGAAGATCTTGCGTAAGATCTTGCGTGGGTACCCCTTGCGCCCCGCGGCCACGCCCCAGATACTGGACACAGTCCAGTATCCAAGTGTACGCAGTCCTTGGGCCACTAAACCTATGTGCACGTTGCTGACTTTCGCAATCTTCAGATACCTCTCCAAAGCGGAGTTCAGCAGGTTGCTCTGGATAACAGCGGCCCCTCTAGGGCAACACCGACTAACGGGCCACACCCGCCTTCATCGCGCTCCCTCCCGGATGACCAGCCTCCCATCGACCGCGTACAGGATAGCGGCAGTACAGAGAGAATATTAGAAGGCCCTGTCGTGAGTAGCCCGGTTGAAGGAGAAGCAGGTGTGTCCGTACATCCTCTCTCAAACACCCCCCCTCCCGGTAATTGGCATGTCGATGCCGTACATGGCGCGACGACACTCTGTCTCTATCGGTTCTCAGTCGACTGATGCAGTCTTGTATCGTAGAGGAACGGCACTCACTGGAACAACCATTGGAATCTACGCTCAACCTCGATCCCCTTGTTACTGTGCCGCTCACCACTGGCGGGAATGACACTACTGCGAGTCAAGAAGGAACGACCGCTGTGACACCGGAGGTAGATCGCATGAATCAGGATGGCACGCATGGCAGGATGGCGCAGAGTATGCGTCTTCTGGGGGTATCCGTGGGGTACGTTTGGCATATGATTGGATTGTACCGTATCGCCATGTTGTTGCGTCGTTGGAGTGGTGTACCACAATGATTGTGGCTGTACTGCCATTCATGCTTATTCAGCGTTCGCGATCCGTCCACACTGTACATAACTAGTTTCCAAGCTTGAGTTCTCAACCGTTGTGCCGGCTATTCATCATGACGTTGGGTTGGAAATCGGGAAAATATATATTGTACATAGCCAACGCAGACGATACGACAATGATCGTTTTCCGGAACCGATGGTGCTACTCTAGTACCAGAATACGGGAGGTGCAGACAGTCTTGGCTCATCTGAGGGCGCATGCGATCCCTGTCGCGAACCTGGCGCGCGACCAGCGTCGGGGGAAAGCGAAAACCCTTTAAATGAATTTTGGTCAATGCAAGGTTCGCGCAAGTTCAAAGGGCATGTACTTACCTCATAAGGAAGAGCCCCACCTTGAATGACCTTCCAAGAATGCGCTGACCTTCAAAGATTGTTAAAGGAAGCCGGCAAGATTCCCATCCCACTCAAGTTAGGCGACGACCTTGCCAGGTATTCGTAGGAGATGGGCAAGCTTTCAAGATCGNGAGGCAGCGAGAACAGCCTGCGCGCGACGGAACGGACGCCGATGGGCTGCTGGCGCTCATGACGTCACGCGCTCGATCCCGGCCTTGGCTTCCCGACTTTTCGTGTCGTTCGATGTCGCCTTCGACTCTTTCCTCTCACCACCATCTACGTCCTCCCCGCCGCCGCCCCTTCGACGTGCGTCCTCATACCTTTGCACCGCCGGTGTACCTATACCGTCTCTGCGACGCGGCAGGTGTACTTTACCGCTCAATCCGGCCTGCGCTTCCGGTGCGGTCTCCCATGCGCTCGCGCTTATTCATGCTCGTCCCCTCACCGCTCCTCACTGACACCACCCGATAGGCACTACCGTTTATGCTCTTTGAGAGAACCTACTCGTCAAGTCTTAAGGTATGTTGCTATCTTGAACAAGCCATAGA